CCCTTCCACATTTGCCAGCTCCATAAACGGCGGGGATACAGACACCCAAAACCTTGTTTTTCCACATTTGCCAGCTCTAGAAACGGCGAGCTCGTGGACACCCAAAAACATTTTTCCACATTCGTCCCGCGATATGCACAGACAGGGCAATTTGGCACCTAGACTCCCGCGTGGGTACTAATTATAATACACAACTCAACTCAACCCGACTCACTATCTAGACTCATATAAAATTTACCCCCTTATAACCTTTTTAACCTTCATTTCATTATGATGTCAAGAGAGAATGTAAGATGCATATGATGCATGAATTTTGAAACCTTTAATTTCCCCCTAAGATAATTCCAAACTATAACAATTCAATATTTCTTATATCAATAATGAAGGATATCTCATAGGCAATTCTCATTATCATCAAGGGTTATATAGGGGAAGAGCTTCAAATCTTACATTCCACCTTTAAAGTTAAGTAAATACATTCAATTTTCATGTTTTTGAAACCAATTGAGCAAAATCCCTCTTTATTGAATAAGTCTCAAAGTTAGGATTTAGGGAAAATTTAGGGTTTTCTCTCTAATATACAAATTGGAGATCAATTCTCATCATCACTTCTATAATCTTCAATAATAAACATGATTTCATCGATAATTATAGAATATCACCACATTTTTTTTTTCCAAAATCACTTACAGGCAACAAAATTTATACATATACATACATATATACATACACACAACATGAATAGCTTATGAAATTACCACATAAGTGTTTCAAATTAAAGATACATCAAGTTAAAGACAACCCTACCTCGAACTAGGAAGCTAGGCTTGAGAACCACACTTGCAATGTTGATGAGCTCATAAAACAATCTATAAAAATGTTGATCTAGACTTCCTTTCAATTTTTGTTGGATGATTTTGAGGAAATCTTGGGTTGAAGTTAGAGAAATCTAGGGTTTGTGTGCTGGGGTTTTCAAAAAGTAAGATTTGAGAGAAGGAGATACGAAAAAATGGGGAGAAAAGGAATAAGGATTAACTCTTAAAAATCTGCTATCCTGACTGACCGCTCGAGGGGAACTTCCTTCGCTCGAGCAAACAACACAATTTCAAAAGGATAGCTCGAGTGACATTTCCTCCGCTCCGGCGTAAAGTAAGAGATCCCAGAAGTTTTGCAAAGCTATAGTGAAACATCGCACTTTCTTCAAGTGGCCAGCTAAGATGTCTGGCCCCCTGATCAGAGAAGAAGAAATCAGAAGTGTGATTATCATCAAGTTCATGGCCATTTAACAGACAAGTGCTACGCTTTGAAAACCATTTGAAGGATTTGCTAAGGGGTGGTCATCTAGTCGATTATCGCCCAAAGGTTGCACTAGTGAATGCTCTAACCATTCGGCCTAATTCTCCCTCACTTGAATTGCGGGTAAATAGGATTTCCGTCGAGTATATCCTCATTGATCAGGACAGCACTTCGAAAATCATGTATTACAAAACCTTCATCAAACTCGGCTTCAAGGAGAAGGATCTCAAGCTAGCTAATTACTCCTTCTTTGGCTTTAACACCAATTCAGAGTACCCACTCAGTAAAATTATTTTTCTGGTCCATATTGGCACCAAGATGCTAGATGTGGAATTCTTAGTTGCCAAGCTCCCATCCTCTTATAATATAATTATGGGCCGAACTTGACTCTATACAATGAGGGCAGTGTCGAGTATGTGTCATCACCTCTTGCGGTTCCCTACATAATACAATATCGAGCAGATTCGATGATCGCAACATTCTACAAAAGTGTTACCTTAAGGGTCTCACCAGGAAGACAAAGGAGCTTAGGGTTAATTCAATTGAGATTCCCGATCAAGAGATTCTTGAAGATGTTGGGAAGATACCGACTGAAAAGGTGATTGAGGGTTTGGATCGAGTCGTGATTGAGGGTTTGGAGAAGTTTTTTCTTATTGGAATGGGTCTTAGTGTTGCCAAAGAACAAGAGTTGGTTGCTTTCCTCCTCGACATCATTAATGTTTTTGCTTGGACCCCATATGAGATGCTCGGAGTCGACCCAGAAGTAGTTGTGCACCTTTTAAATGTGGATCCAAATGCCAAACATGTAATACAAAAAAGTCAACAAACGGCTGTTGAGCATGGTGAAGCAGTTGTTAAAGAGGCTGATAGATTGCTAGAGACTGGGGCAATACGGGAAGTAACTTATCTCACATAGCTGTTCAACATCGTAGTAGTGAAAAAGAAGACGGGGGCATGGAGGGTTTGTGTCGACTTCATAGATTTCAACAGAGCATGTCCAAAAGACTATTTTCCACTTCCCCCAGATAGATTGGTTGGTGGATACCATGGCATTTCACTGGACGATGAGTTTTTTGGATGCTTATCGAGGAGAAAACAACGTTTCTCACTCCAAGGGAACCTATTACTACAAGGTCATGCCATTTGGACTGAGTTCAAAGACCAACTTGGCAAAACTATGGAGGTGTACATCGATGATATGATAATTAAGTTAAAGGAAAAGAGTGCACATATGTCTGATCTTGCTATTACCTTTGATATTTTGCGAAAGTATAAGATGAAGCTCAAATCCTCAAATGTTCTTTCGACGTTGACTCGGGAAAATTTCTTAGCTATATAGTGAACCACCGTGGAATAAATGAATCCGAAGAAAATGAAGGGCATAACAGAACTCGACTCTTCCAAAACTGTTAAAAAAGTCCAGAATTTAACGGGTACGATAGCAGCAGTGAACAGGTCCAAACGACGCTGACCATTTTTTCAGACACTTCAATAGGGATTCAAATGGACCCCTGAGTGCCAAGAAGCTTTGGAGGGGCTTAAAACTTACCTCAGCTCCGTCGCATTGCTATCAACTCCAGATCCAGGTGATGAGCTTGTTTTATACTTGGCAGCACCAGATCATGCAGTTAGTGTCATTCTTCTTAGGGAAGACTTAGGAGAGAGTGACCTATCTTTTATGTCAGCAAATCAATAATCAGAGTAGAAACTCAGTACCTACCCCTTGAGAAGTTAATTTAGGTCTTTATAGTGGCTGCTAGAAAATTGATGCATTACTTCCAAGCCTATACCATTAAGGTCTTGATTGATCACCCTCTTCGTTCAATTCTTCGCTAAGTTGAGTCTTCTAGGCGAGTGTCCAAGTAAGCACTAGAACTTGGGCAATATAATCTCAAGCTTCAACTTGGATCATCCATCGAGAGTTAGGTTGTTGCTGAATTCATTGCCGAATTTACCAAACCAACTTTGATTGATCCTAAATTAAGCACACTGAGCCAGTCATCCTCTCAACCTGGGCAAGAGTAGCGAATGTATGTAGGGGATATATACCAATTGCATTGTGACGGCTCATCAAACTAATGCGGCAGTGGGGCAGGGGTAGTTATCTTGACCCCAGATGGAGCAGTAGTAGAGAAATCAGTAAAGCTTGGCTTTGATACCTCTAATAATGAAGCCGAGTATGAAGCACATCTCATCAGCCTGAGAAATTCACTCCAAATGGGTGCCAAGCATCTGCAAGTCTATTGCGACTCAAAGCTAGTTATTAATTAGTTGAAAGGGGAATATGCAGTAAGAAATGATTGGATGGCAGTCTATATGAGAATGGTTAATGCCTTGTTGGGAAGGTTCAACAGTCATGATCTTAACCAAATAACCCGAGAGCAAAACACCCATGCTAACGCCTTAGCCTGTTTAGCCTCAACTGCTAACTCAGAGGTCACGTGTACCATTGAAATGAGTTTCGTTCCAGGACCGAACATTGATCTGCCCCAGGAAGAGCTAACTATATTCGGCATCTAGAGGGGGCCGAGTTAGATGGATCCTATAATTGCTTTTCTAACTTCAAAACAACTGATAAAGAATAAAAAAAAAAGGCTCATAAACTTTGAAACAAATCCTTAAGGTATTATCTTGACCCGGGGGGGAAGCTATACAAAAAATCCCTCTCGAGGCCTTACCTTGAGTGTGTCCATCTGGACAGGGTTGAAAATTTCCTAGTGGAGATACATGAGGATAGTTGTGGTGTGCATTCGGTTGATCACTGGCTCATAGTGCAGTGACTCAAGGATATTAGTGGTTGACCATGCGAACCGACACAGAAGAGTGTGTCAAAAAATGCAAGCAATGTAAAAAATTCTCTCATCTTATGCATTTTCCAGATAAGGAGCTGACGTCTTTTACCAGTCCTTGACCATTTTCTCAATGAGGGTTAGATATCATGGAGCCATTGCTAAGAGTTGCAGGGAATAAATGGTTTTTGATCATTGCTACAGATTACTTCACTAAGTGGGTTGAGGTTGAGCCATTGGCCATCTTAACACAGTTCGGCATCTCCAGGGCACTCATATCAGATAATGGGACTCAGTTTGATTGTGGGGTCTATCGAGATTTGTGTAATATGTATGGGATTTAGCCTTATTTTTCTTCACCGGCTTACCCATAAAGCAACGCATTACAACAAAAAAAAGTTTTTACGGCGCACAATGCACGCCGTAAAAACCCTTCTATGACGTGCAATGCGCGTCATATTATGACAAGTCATGCAAAGTCATTCACTTTCAACGACATGCTTCATATGCCGTTAAAAATTATTTAACGACATATGTTGTGCGTCGTTGTTACTTTTTCTACGACATGCTATAGTACGCCGTTAAAAACTATTTAACGACAGATTTTGTACATCGTTGTTACTTTTTCTACTACTTTTGCGCGCTGTTAATTGATTAGACAAATAATGACGCTGATTGCGCACGCGTGAAATATGTAATACAATGACTTATTATGCCTGTCGTAGAATATGCAGTTTTTTTTTTTTTTTTTTTTTTTTTTTTCAGTAGGTTCTATTTGACCAATTTTTTTTTTTTTTTTTTATAATTCAGTAGGTTCTATTTGACCAATTTTATACAATCTAACAAATATTACAAACAAGCATCACAAAACATCAATCAACCACCAAAATATTATTTGAAACATCAAAAAGAAACTATATCCATAAATTATAAACATTCAACAATTGGCTATACATTCCAAACATTCGAAAACTATATCCTTAAGTTCTAATCTGTACAAAAAGTTTAAACCATCAAAAACTATGCATATCTAACTTTGTAAACATATCGACAATTATTAAGAGATTATCTAAAACTATCGACAATAGTTCCTATAGCAGTTGTAGCTATAGTTGTAGCGAATCCACTTGCGAGATGTCCAATGTATGTGTTAGGCACCTAAACTCGCGACGATAGCTGGAGTAGCTAACCCTGTTGCATTTCTTGTCTGCATGACAAAGGAAACTTCACATAAGTACAAAAATCAATGACTCAGCGACAAAATATTTCGTGAGGTATTAAGAACAGTTGCCATCGTTCTAGCAAAAGGCATAGTATAAATAGGAACAAAAAAGAAATGTCCAAAATCTAGAATGCTCAAAAAAAGGGTTATTCACATAACTAGGAACAAAAAATCAGAAAATGGGGACCAATCATTATTCTTTTTGGGTAGAGGCTTTAACATCAATTGTTGTTTATCAAATCCTGGGGCAATCAGCACATATTGCAACATTTGTACTGATGAATTTATCTCTCCATACCTTGTTAATTCTCCAATCTAATTCTTATTCAATTCTCTTAGTTTGCAAAAAAAAAAAAAAAAAAAAACCCTTTTATGCTAATGTAGAAAGCGCAAACAGTTCAACTCAGCAAGAACACCATTCATGGTTGCATTGTTGCAAAGAGAAATTCATAGACATAAAAAAAAGAAAAAGAAAAATGCCGTTGTCAATCATTCCAAGATCCAAATCCCTCTCATAGTAAAGGAAAGGACTCTTAAAACCTTTAAATAAAATGAAACGTGCCCCATTTGTCATCTAAATACATCAAAACAAAATTGATCAAAATACTACTAACTGAGTAAACTACCAACATTGTTTTAATTCAGAAAAGTTCAGGAATGCTCTAGATATATAGCAATCAAGCAAACAGAAATAAAGCATACAAGCAACTCAAGAGCTCACTTAACAAAATTGAATTAAATCTTAGTTACAATAATCATGGTTCAATATACCAGACATATACCAAAAACTAATAAATATAAAGGGAAATGAACATGTCACGCACCAAAATATGGTGCCACACACTTCTCTCACATGCACGTAAAAAGAGGTGAGAGAAGTTTATATCATTGACAGCATCCAAATATATATATATATATATGCATATGTTCATGTATTCATATAGTGATAAGCTCAACAAATATCTTTGAACAAATGTAATGATTCCAAAATTTTCAAAATTTCTAGAAAAAAAAGTGTTTCCGTTTGTTTATGAAACAAATTCTCACTCTCTTCTCCCTTCCCCACCACCTCCAGCCACTACCCACAATTCCCACCGCCACCACCACCAGCCAGCCACTACAAACTCTACAGTGAGCTCGAGGACACCGCTTGCCACTACCTCCAACAACACACCAAACATATTTCTTCATTTTTTTTTTTCATTCGTTTTCAAAACTTTTTGTGTACACCAAACAAAACAAAAACCAAAAAACAATAAACTGATAATGTTATCAAACTACTCCTTGTACTAATACATAGAGGTGGATGTAACCAATTCAAAGCATGAGGGGACCATTATTACTGCTCAAATGTAGATAGTTCGACCAGAATAATAAATAAAGAATAAGCATACTGAGTTGTCATTTTCAGGACTCCATTTTTCATGCCATAATACATTGTTACTTATTTATTAATAGAAGATAAGAACTAAAGTTGTCCATATCAGTTACGAATACTTCAGATAACATCAACACAACATAATGCAATACTGCATGATGTGAATTCATCTATAATTATCTAATTTCAAGTATGTAAGCCAACCACATATATCTCACCTCTTTAAAATTCTTGTTAGACAATAGAATAGGAAATGTAATATAGTCTTTCATGATTATCTGAATGAGACAAGTACGAACAACATCCGATAAAATTGAACTGCTGGACTGAAAACCCATAACATGTAGTGTAGGATACCTATAATGGAAGAAAGAAATGAAAAACAGAGTCACAATTATCACCTCTTTATAAGATGTTAAAATCATCCAAATCCAAAACATAAAAATGCCATGAGGAAACTTTACTTTCGTTGTATTTCAGAGCAGTTCAATATAATTATTGGACTTTTATTATATTGTAGAGCAGTTAAATATAAGTAGAAAACTGAACAGGCTACCAATTTCATTGACTGTCTGTGCAGAGCACTGAGCAAATATGTTTGGACGTCCAATTTGAGACATAAAATAGATATAATAGGCATCTGAAACACATAGAAGCAAGAAGAAAAAGATCACAAAATAAACAAAATGCACAACTCCACAGACTGGTCCCAATTGTTAGTTGTTCACAACTTCTGGAAGAACCTGTAAAGTTAGGGTTCCCAAAACTGGAATTTATATTATCATTCTACAAATATAACAAATATCAACCCTTTGATTCTTTTCAAAAGTAAATGCATCCAGTAAAGTCAGATAACAAGAAATAAATTGAACTGCTGGACTGAAAATCCATAACATGTAGTGTAGGATACCTATAATGGAAGAAAGAAATGAAAAATAGAGTCACAATTATCACCTCTTTATAAGATGTTAAAATCATCCAAATCCAAAACATGAAAATGCCATGAGGAAACTTTACTTTTGTTGTATTTCAGTGCAGTTCAATATAATTATTGGACTTTTATTATATTGTAGAGCAGTTAAATATAAGTAGAAAACTGAACATGCTACCAATTTCATTGACTGTCTGTGCAGAGCATTGAGCAAATATGTTTGGACGTCCAATTTGAGACATAAAATAGATATAATAGGCATCTGAAACACATAGAAGCAAGAAGAAAAAGATCACAAAATAAACAAAATGCACAACTCCACAGACTGGTCCCAGTTGTTAGTTGTTCACAACTTCTGGAAGAACCTGTAAAGTTAGGGTTCCCAAAACTGGAATTTATATTATCATTCTACAAATATAACAAATATCAACCCTTTGATTCTTTTCGAAAGTAAATGCATCCAGTAAAGTCAGATAACAAGAAATAGAAGACGATCCATAAATATATAGCAATAGCAACAACAACAATAGGGTAAGAGATAAATTAACATATAGTGTACAGTTGTTGCCGCATAAAACCATTCTCGCATACCAACTGAAAAATCACATGAAAATCCAGAATTGAACATAACTATGAACGGCGAACAAATGAATAGAAAAGTAAATAATAGTTTGTGGATATAAATAGATAAAATAAAGATTAGTGTTGAATTATATAAATAAATAAATAGGCAAACTAAAAAAAATACTTTTTATATTTTATCTAGTAAAAAATGGAAAGTATACTCAGAGTTGCACTAATAGGAGAAAATTAGATGGTCATCCTTATTTTTTAGGACAATTACACACAACAACAACAACAACAACAACAACAAAAATCAAAGTTTGAGCTTCATAACAAAAATAAACTCTAAATTTTTAATTTTATCACTTTAAATTATAATTTTTTGATTTATTTTCAATCTAAACCATTCACCTATTTTTGTTAAGAAAAATCGATAGAAAAAGAATATATTTTAATTATTAAACTCAATATAGATATAAATAAAATGTCAAAAATATAATTTTTCATTAAATTTAATAACTGAAATATCTACTTTTCATTTTATTTTAACTTAACAAAAATAGACAAATGATTCAGGATCAAATGTATCACAATTGAAAACTCAGGGACCAAAGTGATACAGGTCACAAACTACAAAGACCGTTAACATAATTCGCCCAATGGTTCATATTGAAAATGAATAAACAGTTTAAGATTTAAATTGATAAAATTAAAAATTTGTTTGGTTACTAGAGTCAAACCTTGATTTGCGCGTGTGTGTGTACAATGTAATTTCTAGATGCATAAGGAACTTTATTTTTTCAGTAGGTTTCGAATTTCATGGAACTTTGTAGTAAGCTTTCTGAAAAAGAAAAGAAAAAAAAAGAACTTTATAGTAAACTTAATATCAATTATTTTATTTTTAAAGTAAAATACAAAAGTGCATTATTGGGGTGAGGATTAACTTTATTTGGTGTTCGGGTAAGAGCCAAGTCCCAGTCACAGAAGGTACCACTCATCCTAGAACACTGAAACAACCAGAATATGCCATTGCAATAAAGATGGACTTACTACTAATTACCAAAAATAACCTGCCGAAGCAACTCACCCCTACCTCTTGGTTTTACGAAATGACTAATCTCGTATCACGAACTACAAATCAACTTACACAACTGCAGGTGTTCGAAGCTTTGAGATTAAATTTTGTGTAACAGCATCAATGAACTCTTCTGTGTTCAAGTAGAACCCCCACGATACCCTGCATAAACCAAAAGCATCTGAAAATCACATAGAAATTCCCTAGAAGTATCGACAATAACATGGCTCTAGTAATTAGAATTGTATTTTGAAAACATTAATTAACCAATTGGATTGACCATGAAAACTAGGAAGTTGGGAAACCCTTATCCTGTTCGTTCAACCACCAAGGTACAACAGTTCAAATCAATTTACTTGGGAAAAACTATAAAGAAATTCATTCAAGCTCTTGTAATTACATAACTTCTTACATTAAATAAATTATGTACTAAGTCCTTAACTGATTGACAGCATCATTTGTATCCTGTTCAGAGAATTAACAATCCAATTAATTTCTATTTCTTTAGTTGGTAAGCTAGTCTTTCTTAACGTGTCCTAACTCCTAGGGTTTATACAGGATCCTAGGTTCGTCCCCATCCCCCAATAAGGAGGGAGGGGATCAGAACATAGTCAGATAACAATCAAAACATCACTCATAACGGTTAACAATAATAACAATCAAACAGGGAATAAAAAGAGAGGAAAAGTACTCGTAAAAAATCGAATAGAAGCGTAATTCCTTTAATAAAATGCAAAAGAAATGCTTGATAGGATAGTTAAAGAGAGAATGCCACTTACTTGGGCCCACGGACCAAAATGGCAAGATCCTTTGTCATTTTCCCATACTCCACTATCTCAATGCATGCAGCCTCTAGCTTGTGAACAAAATCCAACAACCTTTCATTCTTATCAAGTTTAGTCCTGATAAACATTGTTTTGAGTAAAAAAAAGATGTATCAAGGCTACCTACCTAATTAAAATATATAGCACTAATTTTTCAATAATATTGTAGTAAAAAAACAAAAAAGAAAGGGGAAAAAAAAGTGACTGGCAATCTAATTTAAACAATTGATAGACATTTACATACTTAGTAGAATCATAGCATAGGGCAGCCAGCCTGAGACAAAATGTATAGATACATAATATAACATGATTTTACTTTAATAGGGAAAGTTTATGATAAGTACTCAGCAAACAAGACAATTATGACAGACATGAAACAAATACAGTTACAACATTTTGAATTACTAATATATTATTGATTCAAATGTTTTATTTTCATTATTGTATTCATACATCCATATAACTTCTCATTACTACATGACATCAGTTATTCAGTCCAAATAAAAAAAATATCATAGGCAGCTTGACATAGACCAATTGAGAAAGGCGATAAATCATGCAAACCTCCAAATACAATTAAACTCAAAGGAAAATCAATAGCTATGAAAAATCATTTCTATGAACGTATGAAGAAGCAAACCAAGCTGAAGGTAGTAAATAGAATTAAATACAATCACTGTTTCAACCTTCCATACTGATTGACAATTTTTGAACATGAAAAAATTGAAGGGTTATATTTCATGTCTCCTAATTTCCTAAAATTCCAAACCAATAACAAGGACTCATCTAGACATTCTGTTAGACACCTAAACTACAAAACCAAAAATTACTCCTTTAAGCTGGAGAATTGGACAACAAAATTCAAACAACAAACAGAATTCAAACAACAAACAGCGAGTTTGAAGAGCAAAGAAAGGGAATAACACAACAGCGATCAAGAGCAGTGAGTTCGAAGTCTTACCTTGCGAGTGCGAGTTCAAAGGGAGCCGAATGAGGAGCAGCCCAAAACAAAAACTAAAAATGCTAACCCAACACAAACGAAAAGAAAAACAGACATAACCGTGAGCAAAAAACAAAACTAGCCATTAGCCGAGTTTGAAGGAGCGATCGAAAAAAATACTGACATTACCGAAGGGAGCCGAAGGAGGAGCAGTGTCGTATGCAACCTAAAATTGCTAACCCAACATAGCAAAAAATAAAAATAGACACAACCATGAGCCAAAAACAAAAACAGCCATCAGTCGAGTTCGAAGGAGGAGAGAGAAACAACATAATCAACGACAGCGACTAGAAATTACCTTGCGAGTTTAAAGGGAGCAGCGTCGGTACAACAGCAACTGAATACAAATCTTATCCCTTGCGAGTTGTAAATTGAAATTCGAAGGGTTGTAAGGGATGTAAGGGAAGGAGGAGGAGTATAGGTGAAAAGAATAGAGAGTGGGTTTTTATAGGTAGCGGGTTTTGGTTCTGTTCAAGAAGAGCAGAGAGTGAGAGAGAGATAGAGAGGGATTTTTTTGGTTCTGTTCAAGATGAAGATGAAGACCTAGAAGAAGAAGGGGTGTCCAGAGAGAGACTGAAACCTTCCTTTGATTTTAGATTCACAGCCGAAGAGGAGATGGGATGAACCTAGTAATCCTTAGCAATTCATTCGGCCTTCATCATTATCAGAGAGAGAGAGAGAGAGAGAGAGATTGAAACCCTATGTTCCCTTCCTGATTAGATGAATTAGAAGGCAATTAGTTATTTTGGAAAAGCTCAAAATTTTAATATATATATATATATATTTGGTGACTGGAGCTCAAATTTTTATTTTTGCGCTTATTTTTATTTTGGTCATACTATTGATGACAGAAATTGTGTGTCGTGAAAAATAAAATATTTTTAACAGTATATGTGCGTCATGGAAAGTGTACTTTTTAATGGCCGACTTTTTGTGTGTCGTAAAAAGTGTAATATTTTTAATGGGTGGCTTTTTGTGTGCCGTGAAATGTTCAATATTTTTAACGACTGTATATGTACGTCATGTATAGTTAATGTATTAATGGCATGCTATATGCATGTCGTAGAAAGTTTTATCATTTACGGCTAACATTGCAAGCCGTAAGAAAATCATCTTTATTCGCATTCACGGCGTACGCAATAGACACGCTGTGATTGGAAAATTATATACGACATGCAAAAAGAGCAAGTCGTAAAAGTGAGAAACCACGGTTTGCATTTACTGTATATCATTAATGTGGAGTCGTAAAAACTCAGTTTTGTTGTAGTGACGGTCAAGCTGAGGCTTCTAATAAAGGGGTACTAGATGGCATAAAGAAGCGCTTGGAGAAAGCGAAGGGGAAATGGGTTGAGGAGTTGCCAAGTGTACTGTGGGCTTATGGGATAATGTCGAGACGGTCCACCAGGAAGACCCCATTTGCCTTGTTTTTTGGTAATGAGACAATCATGTCCCTGGAGATTAGCCTACCATCTTTCTGAATGAAGGCCTTTAATACATGTCGAAATGATATGATGCTCGCACTTGATCTTGACTTAATTGAGGAAGCTGAGACAGCACTCTTGTCACCATGGCCCATTATCAACAAAAACAGCTAGCTAAATCTTACGATTAGAAGGTGCGGATCCATCGCTATATGCCTGGGGAGTTGGTCCTGAAAAAGGTTTTGCCTGCTGTGGGATGCCTTTGGGGTTACCAAGTGTGCTCAATAGTTCGGACACTTGATCTCCTGATCTAGTCCCATAAGTGCAATGTGAAACATAAATGAAAGTCTAGATGTGACCACTTTGTACAAAAAAATCCATTTTGTTGCAAAACCTTTGCCAAAAAATAGACAACATCACCATATCTTAGAGTTGCTACCTAATCTTTTGAGAAAATTAGGAAACCCGTGACTCATGCCAAAGGCCACTGTCCATCATAACCAAAGTGTCTCAGTTTGGAAACTTAAGTATAAGAGGGGAAGGTCATGAATTGAGCACCCCACTCATCCGATCAAAAGATCGGCCTCTACTAAGTCATGATATGATTTTTATAGTTGATATATGTTCATGTTCCGATTATTAATAATAATAACATTACTATATGAGGCAACCAAGTATAGATCGTGTCATTAGTTTTGTTTATGCTTTGATTTCATGCATTTTGAAAAATGAATCAATTGCACTCGAATACAAGCAACACGACCTCTATTCACTGACATTCAAATAGATATTTCATTTAAGTATCTAGCCTTATGGTATAGCAATGGCTGACATTCAAATAGATATTTCATTTAAGTATCTAGCCTTATGGTATAGCAATGGATATGATTAAAAGCATACACATATGACATGCTAAAGCATAAATGTTCACCTAGTACTCCGGGAAAGCTGAAAGAATATATTAGAATATATGATGATCCCATATACAAGTAACTAATATAATACATGAACAAAATAGATCCAAAGGGTCCGACCACTAACATATGACATGTGTAACTCTGTATCTGGCAAAGCAGTCCATGTTTGGCACTACTTTTTCAAAAATCTGTTTCTCAAAACGATTTGCCAGATTTGGACTCTTTGGTTCAGATTAAGAACCGTGACACAAATCGAGTCCGAACCGTAGCACGAGGCCCACGCGGGAGCGTCTACAATGATGATCCCATATACAAGTAACTAATATAATACATGAACAAAATAGATCTAAAGGGTCCGACCACTAACATATGACATGTGTATCTTCTCAAGATATGAGGTAGCACACATAATCAATTTGGAAAGGATAAAACCCAGAGAAAGATGCACATAAGCCGAACCCGGGTGCATGAAAGATAGATACAATACATGAATATGATGCTATGCATATAAAGAACACACGCAAATAAAAGGGATAGAAAGACGCAAGGTTGGAAGATTATTATAACAATTCAGCTAAGAAAGAGAGATGGGGGAGAAATTATTACAACACTTGAATGAATATTAATAAAAATAAAAGACATTGAGTTAAAGGAATTATTACAACACTTGAATAGATTCAGCCAAATTACTACTGAATCTAACAAATCATACTAAATAAATAAATGAATTTGCCCCGTAGCTCCAGAATTACCTGGAAGAGCACTCTACAGAAGCTGTCTGTTTTGTTCTTGTCTTGGAAAGATAATCTAGCCAGACACAAAATGGGCCGGCCGGCTGTCGATATGACTGACCGAACACTTTTTCTAAGGAAACTTAATTTGGTGCAGAGAGCTCCAAAACAGAAGTCAAGCACATCTTCCAAAGAGTGCTCCTCTTCTCTACCTCTCCCACTTGTAGAGACTACTTAGGAGAGATGTAGGCAGGCTTCAACCCCAAACAATAAGATATAATAGATATGTACAACAAATATTTTGTGATGAATCAACAAATTAAATGGATTAAAGCAATATCAAATTCAAGATTAAGAAATAGATGGGAACCTACATCATCTCTTTGTGAATAAAGGCAAGTTAATACCCAAATCCATACTACTAATTAGGAAGAGTAGATTAATGCACACCATTTCTTAGTGGAAGCTTTGTTATTAAAGGAAGGGATTTATCAAAAGCTATTGAGAACTCTTCTTCTATTCATGGAACAAGGATGTTTCCACCCATTTCCATGTTCATGAAGGATTGAGAAGAGAGAATTCAACACCCTTGACATAGAATCTCTTACTTTACTTCCAAAAATAATCAATAAAATGGAAAACCACAACCTTCTCAAAATCAAATCCCAAGAATCATCCAAGTAATCTTATGAAACAACCATTATTACTTATTAGTATTGAGCATAGGTTGAGACACATGGATTAGTATGCTTAGATGATGAGATATGGGAGGAGAAGATGTGTAACAAGAAAGAAATCTATTCTATATATCAAATTTGTGAATGGGTGGCTACTTTCTACTCCTATTCACATCCACAAAGTTCCAAAAAAATACAACAATGGATTTTAGCTATGGAAAGAAAGAAAGAAATTATAGACAAATTATGGGAAGAAAAAGAAAAAAAAAACTATCAACTCAATGGATGAGTGGCTAATTTCTACCCCTAATCACATCCATGAGGACTTTGTACATGTTTAGAACAAGTGTAGAATAATAATAAAGCTGAAAATGAAGAACAAAAGGAAGAAAGATAATGAATAGTGCAAGGACTTCACCTCTTGAACATGGTGAGTTCTTGAAGTGTTAGAAGTTGAAGAAGGTAGGTGTGAGGTAATGTAAAGAGAGGGGCATTCTTAATCCTTTATATAAGCCTTGGGTCAAAGTTCCAACCATTTGAAATGAGCTGATGTGCTCTATTTTATAGAGTTTTAGACTTAAATATCTGGGATATTTGTGGACAGTGTGTAGAAGAAACTGAAATTCTAGAAAATACTCTGTACCCGGACAATTAGCCAGCCATACATTTAAAGTTAACACAAATTGAAGGAAAAACAATTATTTCAGAGGATTTCACTCCTTCTATTCATTCCCCTTATATCCCTTGCTCAATCTATTTGAAAGAATACAACATTTTGATTTTGAAAATATGAATTGTAGAAATGTCTGGAACTGCGCAATCCAAGATATTTTGAAAAAAGTTTTCCATTGGTCGAAAAGTATTTTGGCGAAAACGGGTGTTTGGTTAGTTTCAAAGCTTGACTCCCGAGCTTCCTGCTAAATGATTCATAGGACTAACACATCTTGAATTTCATCATTGGGTACCTAAGAAAGAACACCCAAGTCTTAAGACTGGTAAAAAATGGAGTGTCTATAGTTGCCCATCTTTGACAGAGCTCAGCGCGTCATTTCATGACGTAAGCGAATGTCAAACCCCAAAGAGGACCCTTTTAACAAGGTCGTAAGACTTGGGCAAACAAACAAAATGAAAATGCAATTGGTTGAACCCGAAGGTTGCCTACGTATCTGTAATGCCTCAAAAACATAACAAGTAACCATCTCATGAATGTAGACACCCCATTTTTGATTAGCCTTGAGACTTAGGTGCTCCTTTTTGAGTTCTCAATGATGAAGACGATAGGTGTTAATCCTTACAAGTTCCACGTCAAGAAGTCTAAGGATAAAGCTTTAAACCATCCAGTGCCTATTTTAGACAAAATGTTTTTCGACCAAACCTTTTCCAAAACGAGTTTTAGTGGTGCAACTCCAGACATTACTACAA